TCATAGAACTGCGGGGTTTCCTGTTTGAGAAGCTACTCACTAGCCCCATGGAAGCCAGGGATAAGGCCCAGTTCATACAGGACATCAGTAGACGGAATAGGAGGAACCAAGAAATCATCGACATGCTTGAAAATGAATTGGCAGTGAGAGTGAAGAACAGGGATGCAGAGGTATTTCTTCACAGTGTTGGTCAAGTTATGGAAAGAGCCACACTGAGTGGCCCAAATCTTTTGGTGGTTTGATTTTTCCTCCATGATTTAAGTAGCTTTCTAAAAATTCATTTACTCCACAAAGATGGTTTTGAGCACTTACTAGGTCCCAATAAGTACATAAGCCCATGTGGTCCCAGCCTCATGAAGTTCACAGTAGGAAAGGTAGGTATTGATATTAAAGAACTCATTTAATTACAGTTTTGAGAAGTATAATGAAGGGCAAGTAGAGGGTGCTATAAGGGAGTGTTACAGGAGAACTGAACTTAGACCAAAAGGATCAGGGATACTGAAGCCAAGACATGAAGAATGAGACGGAGTGAACCAGGCAAGTGAGGTGAGGAGGAACCTTCTAAGCCAGGGGATGGCAAACTTTTTGTACAAAGGGCCAGCTAGTAAATAACTACATTAGGCTTTGTGGGCCGCACAGTCTCTGTTGCAACTACGCAACTGAACTCTTGTTATAGTGTGAAAGCAGCCATAAACAATATGTAAATGAATGGGCTATGTCCCAATAAAATCTTATTTACAAATACAGACAGCCAGCTGGATTTGGCCTGTGGGCCTTAGTTTTCTGACTCCTGTTCTGGGTGAAGGGGAGAGTATACACCTAAGTCCTGAGATGGGAATAAGCCTGGCTGGTTCAGAAACCCAAAGAGTGCCAGTGAGCTAGAGGGAAGGGATAAAGATAGGCCTGAAAAGAGGGGTGAGAGACAGAGCACACAGGCCCGTTGAGGTCTAATCGAGGAATGTGGTCTTTTTCCTGAGAGCAAGGGGCAGGTGGAAAGGGGGGAAGCTCTTGAATAATTTTTTCTGGGAGGGCAACTGAGCAGTACTGGGATCTGAACCCTTGACCTTGGTGTTTGAATTTTTAAGAAGTGAAAGGATAGCATGATCCCAAACCACCATTTTTGGATGCATACTACTATGTTTGAAAGAATTTTTAAGAAGTGAAAGGATAGCATGATCCCAAACCACCATTTTTGGATGCATACTACTTATTATGCTTTACATACATTTTTCTGTAAATCTTTACAAAATCCTTGTGAGATGGGGTATGAGTATAGATTTGGTTGCTATAACAGAGATACCCAAAATAATAGTGGCTTATTCAAGATGGAAATGCATTTCTCTCTAATGAAAAAGCTACAGTGAGTATGGCAGCTCTGCTTCCCAAATTGTCAAGGGTCTGGGCTTCTTCCATCAGGCTTCTCTGCTGTCCCCCACATGGGACTTCTAACTGCGGGTCAAAATGGGTGCTCCAGCTTTCCCCCATCAGGAGGAGAAGGCTTGGTTACAGATTACACAGCCTGGAAATAACACACAGTACTTTCATGCATATCCCTTAGCCACATCCAGTAGATAGAGATTCTGGGAAAGGTAGTCTCTTCCTAGGGCCACCTTCCCAGCTAAACATTCTCCTCACAGCCTCTCCTAGGAGAGCAGATATGGGAGAATAGCCAGCCTTCACTGCCACAGACACTTCTGTTTTCATCCCCCATGAGAGATGAGAGATTCAAGGTCCTGGGAAGCTGTCTGCCAGCCTCCCTACCCCGCACACTAGGTCGTTCAGTTCTCTCTGAGTTTGTCCTTTAAAGCATTCATCAGAGTTTGATTATAAATATTTGTGTGATTATTTGACTTGGGTCTGATTCCTCCACAAGAGGTACCTTGCCTCTTTGGGCCTACCATTGTGTTCCCAGTGAGCCCAGCACAAAAGAGGGCATGATATATATTTGCTGAGTCAATAGATGACAGACTACTGGGCACTTGGTCAGGAGAGGCCTCTTGAAAGGTTGGAGGGGACATCATCTAGGGACAGATAAAGGGTCACCACTGGCTTTGCTGGTCTCATTCAGGTGGTGGAACCAGCTTGGGGCTTTCAAGTTGGATTGATCTGGTGTCAAATTTCATTTTTTTCCAGGTGGGCAGATTTCATCACATCATTGAACTTCAGTGTAAAATGAGGGGGTGACACCAGTCAGGCATATTGTGGGGATTCTACCAGAAAAGCTCTGACTGCTAGCAATAGTGCCTGACCTAAAACCCATCACCTAGTGCACAAAGCCTTGCCCACAGGATAGGCTTGCCCAAAAGGCACCCCTCATTCCTTGCTCATTGCATGCAGGAAGTGAGTTCAGATCCACTGCGGCCCTCCTGCCAGTTGACCCCAGCCCAAGGCTGCAGGCAGGGGCAGCTGCAGCACCATTGTGTTCAGACAGAGACTCCAGTATTTGTGAGAAGCCTTTGGAGCTTTTACAAAACAGCCCTGTCTTCCATTCCTACTCCTATTTTATTTATTTATTTATTTATTATTTTTTATTTATTTATTTTTTTGTGTGACCGGTAAGGGGATCGCAACCCTTGGCTTGGTGTCGCCCGCACCGCTCTCAGCCAGTGAGCGCACTGGTCATCCCTATATAGGATCCGAACCCGTGGCGGGAGCACTGCTGTGCTCCCAGCACCGCACTCTCCCGAGTGTGCCACGGGGCCGGCCCCTACTCCTATTTTAGAATTGACCCAAGGCAGGGGACAAGCCTGGGACTGGGCTTCAAGGGAAAGCCCAGTGGCAATTCCTGTGGTGTGTGTTTATCTCACACCTTCGTGCACTGTGCCAAGTGTCTCTGCAAACTGGGCTATCCCCCACTGTACCCCCAACATTGCCAGTGTCCCAGACCTCTCCTGTGGCCTCACTCCAGCAGGCCCGTGCCCTCACTCACAGAAGGAAATAGAAAGTAAAGGCCAAGAACATGGGTCAGACAGGCTTGGTTTCAAATCTCAGTTCATCTGCACAACCCCATGCCTATGAATCTACCTCCTTGAGCCACAGTTCCCTCATCTGTAATCAGGCTGTCCCTGTCCCCCCTTGTGGAGTTAGGGGTTGGATTTGGCATGATAAAGATGCAGGCAGCGTGCCAGCCCTAGGGAAGGGTCCAGTAATGACAGCTGCTCCTGGAACTGTCTGCGATGGCGTAGGTACCCACAGAGCCTTTCTTCTTCCTGCCCAGGTAGAGAAGGAGAACACTGTGATCCAGGAACTGAAGAACCACCTACACCAGGTGCTCAAGTTCTCAGAGAACAGCCTCCTTCGCACTCAGCAGGAGGCTGAGAAGCAACAGAAGGCGGACTTCCGGGCCTCGCAGGCCAGGGTGGCCAAGATCCAGAAGGAGATGATGATGCTGCAGTCACAGTACCACAACCTGGTTATGGAGAACCGGGAGACGGAGCAGGCGTTGAGGAAGGTACCCTGGGAAGCAGGGACAATGGGACAGTGGGACTCTGTGGCAGGGGGGTCCAACAGAGCCTGGCTGCACCAGCTACCCAGACAGTGGCTTGGCAGAGGAGGAGGGAACAGGAGCAGGGGAAGCCCAAACCTGGGCCAGAGTCCCCGGGAGGCAGGAGGGGTGACACAGGTCCGGAAACTGGGGGCAGAGAGACTGGGTTCCCTTCCAGCATTGCTGCATGCTCACTTTGTGACCTTGGGCAAGTTCAGCAACTCCTCTGACCCTGCAGGGATGATGATACCCACCTTGTCAGATGCCGTGCAAAGGAATGAAGTAGCACGTGAACCTCAGGCACATTACTCAGTTCCCTGCAAGCCTCTGTTTTCACATCCAGAAAATGAATATGATAAAATGAGTCTTAATGGGTTGTTATGAGAATTAAATAAGATGATATGCAGAGAGCTGGTGCATAGTAGGTGATCAATAAATATCATTTCTTCATCTGCCACCTTCATCATCTCAGCCAAGACACAGAATCAGCATGCACCTGGCTTCCTAATCTCTTTCTTCACAAAGGGCATCCTTTTTAATACTTGTCCGAGTCTCTTTTAGTGTCACAACCCCATCTGATGGAAGCCAGGGCCTCTCCCCCAGAAAAAAGGCACAGATGCACATATATACACTGGTGGACAATTCTTGGGGGGCCATAGTGCCCCTGAAACCAGCCTACCCATGGTGCCCAAGTTAAGAACTCTTATTCTGTAGGATTAGGGAGTTTATTTATTCATTTTTAATTGAGGTGAAATTCACATAATATAAAAGTAACCACTCTAAAGTGAACAATTCAGTGGTATTTAGTACATTCACAATGCTGTGCAAGTACTACTTTTATCTAGTTCCAAAATGTTTTTATCACTTCAAAATAAAACTGTACCCATTAAGAAGTTACTCCCCATTCCCTTCTTCCCCCAGCCCCTAGCAATCACTACTTTGCTTTCTCTTTCTATGGATTCACCTATTCTGGACACTTCATATGAATGGAATCATACAATATGTGGCCTTTTGTGTCTGACTTCTTTCACTGAGCATCATGTTTTCAAGTTTTACCCACCTCGTAGCATGTATTTATTACTATTTATGACTGAATGACATTCCGTTGTATGTATGGGAGCTGATCTTTTAAAAACAAAATTAGATCGTATCCCTTAACTGTATCCAAATCTACCCAGTGGCTCCCCTCTCCCTCCCTCTGTGACAGCCTCTCACTCCGAAAGGTCGGGGACCACTCCCCTCCTGGCCACTTCATTCCAGCCACACCAGCTCTATTTCTTTTCTTTAAATACCACAAGCTTGTTCCCCTCAAGGACTTTGCACCCACTGTTCCCTCTGCCTCGAATGTTCTGGAACCTCTCACTCCGAAAGGTCGGGGACCACTCCCCTCCTGGCCACTTCATTCCAGCCACACCAGTTCTATTTCTTTTCTTTAAATACCACAAGCTTGTTCCCCTCAAGGACTTTGCAGCCACTGCTCCCTCTGCCTCGAATGTTCTGGAGTCGAATGTTCTGGAATATTCTGGAGTAAAACTATTGCTTCAAATCCAGGCTCTGCCACCCATTAGCTCTGTCATTTTGGGTGAGTAAGGTAACATGTCTGAGCCTCCATTCCCTCATCTGTGACATGGAGAAAGCGAACCTCCTTGTGCGGATTCAATAGGCGAGGCAGGGAAAGCACTCACCGCAGGGCCCACTCGTGCAGAGTGCTCAGTGCTGTTTATTGTTAATAGTATCCCATCAAACAATGACTAATTGGATGTGTTTTTTTTAGAAAAAATATAAAGTGGAGACGGAAATTGAGAACTGGATCCAGAAATATGATATGGAGATGGGTGAAAAGCAGGTATTTGTTACTGAATAAGTCTCTCTTGAGCACTTCCCCCAAAATACTTTAGGAATGGGAGGAGCAGCCCTAGGGTGGTTCATAGTTTGGGCCAAGTTCTGAGCCTCCTCAGAGAGACCCTGGAGCAGGCCTGTGGCAGGTTCCTTCCCAGCCTCTCCCTTTGTTTCAAAGATTTGTCCAGCCTGGGGCTGAGAAGCAAGAGGTGGGAAGAAGCTGTGAGCCATTTAGGAAAGTGCCTGACCCTGGGTCTAACAATCTTGGCTCCATCTAGTGTCCACATCCCATACTCCTCTGCCCACTCCTGGCCCAGCTCCTGCCAGCACCCTCACAAGCTGGGCCTCATCCCCAACAGACTCAGATGTGAGCCTGTCTCCACCACTTCACTCAGTCCCTTAGCAAGTCTTTACTTAGTGCCTGAGATGTTCCAGGCCTGGGGTACAGCAGTGAAGAAAAGGAAGTCCCCATTATCATTTGAAGTTTTCACTCTAGTGTCACTTACCAGCTGTGTGACCTGACCTTCCTGAGCCTGTTTCTGCATCTGATCAACAGAGGCAATAATACCTGTCTTGGGACCATGGTGGGGATTCAATGAGACCCCATTGTTGTGTTTGATCCAGAGCCTACAAATCAGGGCACCCCCAAACTCCCCAAGGAGCTCTGGGATAACATCGGTGGCCCATGGCCCCAACTTGGGGGACAGGGAGGCCTGGGGAGCACTGAAGGTGACATCAGACTGAGTGATCCAAAGCCAGGTGTGCTGGTCAGAAAAGGGCAAGTCAGGGCCTTGCTCTGTCTGCCCATGACCGCCCCGGGGAGGGGAGCTTTGCAGGCTGTGCTCTTTTTCTCTGGAACCAATGAGGGCTGTGGGTTCTTTGCTGGCAGGGACCTTGTCTACCCAGCTCTGTGTCTTCTGGAAGTGCTCCACTTATGGTAGATGCTTGGTAGATGTTGGTGGAAGGAAGGAAGAAAGGGAGGAAGGAAAACAGGTGTAAATTACAGCAGAGAGACTGTAGCTAGACATAAGGAAGAACTTTGGGACTCGGTCACCTGAGATAGTTCTTTTTATTCTGGGTATCTGTGAAATTGACTGCTTCCAGGACTGCAGCTTCTGTTTCTTGTGTCCCCACTGTGTGCCTGGCACCATGTCCAGTATATTGCATTCCTCAGTTAGTTTAGCCCTGGAAACAGCCCTCAGGTTTGGAACCATCCTCACATTTCAGATGAGGGAAGGTGAAGGATTGAAAGGTGAAGTCCCTTATGGTGCAGCAGAGCTGGAGTTTAAAGCTAAATCCATCCAACGCACAGGTCCATGTTCTTTCTCCCTTCCTGAATTATTTCAGCACTAGGATGGACACCATCACCTCTCCAACGCTCATCCGGGCCACAACACAGAAAGGCTTATTTAGCATAGGCAGCATTGCTGGGGCAGAAGCCCATTTGGGAAGTGGGGGTGTGTGGAGGAGGGGGGGAGGCAGTGCTCTACTCCTGGTGACCAGCACCCCCTAACCCTCACCCAGGAGGAGTACGAGGAGCTGGAGATCATCCACAAGGAGGAGAAGGACCAGTTGGGCGAGCTCAAGAAGAGGCACGACTTGTTGGTGGAGGAGTTCGCCCAGATCCAGGAGGAGCGAGAGATCAACTCCAAGAAGAGGATGGAGGCTGAGCGCGAGATGGTGCGCATGGTGCGGGCGGCCACACTCATCCAGGCCATGTGGAAGGGCTACCTGGTTCGCTCCATGCTCAGGTCCAAGAAGAAGCGGGGCAAGGGCAAAGCGAAGGGCAAGGAGAAGGGCAAGGAGAGGGGCAAGGAGAGGGGCAAGGAAAAGGGCAAGGAGAGGGGCAAGGGCAAGGGCAAGAAATGAGCCCTGCTCCCAACCCCAAGCACCCACTGTACCCCTTCGTACTCCCAGAGATCTGGCCAGGAAGCCATGGGAATGGAGAGCCCTGTGATTCATAGCTTTAATGATTTTTTAAAATTAAGCCACATTCAAGGGAACACCCTACAAATAAACCTCACTTTACCCACTGCTGTTGGTGGTGCGTGTCTGTGCTTGTGGACACCCGGTTTCCATGAGGAGCGTGCAGGCTGAGGTGTTGGCACATAACCATTCCTTACGCTAGCCTCGATGGGAAACCAGACCCTGGGCTATAGCCCCCTCTGTCCTTGCCTGAAAGCTGCCATGGCCATGATGGATACATCACCCACCAGGGCAGCAGCGTGTGGGTCACAGCTGCCTATAGGGGGGCACAGAGGCAGGTAGAGAACTCCAAGAGGAGCAGGGCCTTGGGTTTCGGGCTGCTTATAGCACCACTCTGGGATCATTAGTTTGCCCACAACTTCTTCCCTCTCCAGCACTGTGAAAGCTCAGGAGTCCAGAGGTCACAAATCAGCAGCTTCACACTGGCTTCAGTTGGTGCCCAGGGAGTTGAACAATTACTTTTTAATTAGTTGCTGGCATTTAAAAAATTTGAGAAATGCAGCTTTCTGTCTTTTTTGGAAAAATTTCATCATCTAGATGCTCCGGGCCTTGCATGTCTTCCAGAGTTCAGCAGCAGCACCCCCTTTACATGGTACAGGGACTGCAGCTCGCCCCATTCCCCACCATTACCATCTGCCTTCTAGACACCATGGCCTGGTGTCAGTTACCTCTTAGCAGTGCACTTGGGCTATTGTTACCTTTTAATATAGTTGGGAGGAAAGAGGTATTTCTGGCCCATGTAAAGTAAGGGGAAAAAGGCAAATGAGAAGTGGATGTTTCAAGAAAAACCGAGGGGGGTAGGAATAATTCTTTGTGAAAGTTTTAGGAAATTTAAACATCCTACATGTTTCAAATGCAAAGTGTGTCTGTGCCAAGTGCAGCTGGATAGCATCTCTCCTTGCCCGTCTGATTTCTGCAGGTGTGTGCATGTGCGTCCCTTGTCCTGGCCACTGTGGGTCCCTCCCCGGCAGTGTCCACTCTTCCCTTCCTCAAGGTGGGGCAACCAAACCAATAATGTGGCTTCCAACTGGGCTCCCTGGAATCCTTAGGGGAAGATGGGGGCAAGGAGCGGCCCAAAGCCCAGCCCCCACACCCAGATCAATCAAGGCAGGATGCTGGGATTCTGGGCACAAATCCATCTGAGCAGAGGCTTTGCTGTATCTCGTAGTGACCCCACTCAGGGCTCCATCCCAAGTACTCTCCGGATGCTCTTGTCACTGGCTGGCCTTCTCGGACCCTCCACTTGTCAAAGTCCTAGCCATTTTTTTCTTTTAATTTTCTCAGTTTTTATTTGTCTGAAAATGTCTGTATTTTACCCTTGTTCTTGACTAGCCATTATTATTTTTTTTTTTAAGGTGGAAAATGTATATACATATATATAATTTTAAAACAAAACAAAAAAACCTAAGGTCTATATTCTGAGCTCAGGAAGAACCAGCTAACCCACTAGTTAGTGTCATTAACTGGAAACCCATGGGAGGAGTCCAGCGTTGCTTGAGGCCTGTGATCCCAAACTTCAGTCACCTGCTTGCCACTGTCATGATTTCTGCTATCTCCTTGTATTACCTGTTGTATTATTTAGCTTTGTTAATCAAATCAATTCAGTCCTAATAATGGCCTTTATCTTTACCCCAAGGAAAAAACAATTAGTAACACTCATGGATTTCATGAGCTGATATATTTCATACATGAAAATAAATACATAACTATCAAAGTGAAAACATGTTCACCCACACCCCCCAGATGCCCTTGTGTTCCCCTGCCACACACAGCCTGGGAAAACTCCTCTGAGGCCTCTCGACTCAACTGGAAACTAATCCTGAGCAGGAAGCTTGGCTCAAAAGTTGGGGGAGGAACCCTTCAGGTTGGCAATCACTATTGGTGTCTTGGTGGCAAGACAATGTTTTGGACAGCTGGGAGGTAGAGGGCCCCAGGTTGGCACTGATTTGGAGTGTGGCTAAGACAGGGTTGGAGAAAGGCATCTTAAGGGATGGCCCCCAAATCCACATCACGGGAGAAGAAGGCAGGGAGCAACTAGAGATTGTCAGGATTGTCAGGATAAGGGGTGGCACTGCCCACTCTTGCTATGTCTGCCCCCATGGGGGCTTCTCCAATGCCTGGGGGTTACCCAGGAGATGCTGGTCTCCCCAGAGGGCTCCTACCAGGGCCATGCCCCTTGCCATGACCCCTATGGGCAAACCTGATGAAAGAACCTCATTTCCAAGGAGGCTTTGGTTTCTGGGTGGTCCCACCTCGTCGGGGGGTAGTTGGTACTGAAACACTGACTGACTGAGCCCTAGGAGTCAGCAGGGGGCTCCGGAAGGTCACCCCTGACGCAAAAGTCTTGGGATCCTGAGGTCCATTTGTGTGGGGGACACTGGTAGCTGGCTGACCGGAGCTGGGGACATTCAGGTGGGTGAGGGAATGGGAACGCCGCCTCAGAGGGCATGGAGGGTCTAACCTACCCACAGACAGCTTCCTTGCGTCTGTCGCTATCCTGGGCTCTGTCTTCAAGGGACCAGCTGGGTGAATAGCTCGCAGAGGCGTCTCCCTGGGGCAAGGTGAGTGGCTGCCCCTGGGAGTAGCTGGTGGTGTCCAGAAGAGGGCACGGAGTTTCGCAGCATCGCCCTTTGCCATCCCTGGGGCCTCCCAGCTGGTGCCCTCAGGTCGAGAGCCAAACAGTGACTCATCACAGAAAGACGGAGTGTGGCTGATCAGTCTGGCAAAGAGAAGAGACTCACAGTGAGCTGGGGGATGAATGACCCCTAAAAACCTTAACATTCCCCACCCCCCAGCCCCTAGCAGACACCCACAGCAGCAGAGAAGGGCTGACTGTAGATCTCAGGAGTCCCCCAGCACCCACAGGGAGGTAATGGTCCTCTTATGTACGTACCACTGCTCTAAAAACCTTAACATTCCCCACCCCCCAGCCCCTAGCAGACACCCACAGCAGCAGAGAAGGGTTGACTGTAGATCTCAGGAGTCCCCCAGCACCCACAGGGAGGTAATGGTCCTCTTATGTACGTACCACTGCTCCCAGCTCTGTTGTACTTCCCCTGTGAAACACCCCAGCCCCCTGCATCCTGACCCCATTCCCTGGCATGTGCCCCTCGCCTGGTCAATTTGCATATTCCATCATCGTGGCCACACTGATGGGTTCAGGAAGAGCCACATGACTCAAGTCTATCCAATGAGAGTCTGATTTAGGACATTTGCTTAAACTACTAGGAAAGAGATATTGTTCTGCCACCTGGCCTTGCTCCTTGCTAAGCTGACAGGACGTCAGCCCAAAGCAACTTGTGGCCATCTCATTCCCACTGGAGATCAAAGGACATGCAGGGAAAGCAGACAGACTGAGCCCTGATACATGAGCCCCAAGTGCCCTTCTTCTGCTGAAGCCAGTTTGAGTAAGTTTTCTGTCATTTGCAGCTGAGACTTAATCTAACCTTAGTTTTTGTAGCCTTTACTTTTTTCTTTTTCCTACCACTTTTTCTTTTTCCTAGAGGCCTCATCAGCTTGCAGTCCTGTGGCCCCTCCTACTGTACTTGAAGCTGGAAAGCACAGTGCTTGGCAGGTAGAGGGTATTCAGTTTGAGCTTCTGTTATAAAGCTGGCCTGGCCCCACCACCAGAAAAGCTTTTTAAAATTTTGAATAATTACTGAGGGCTTTTCATTTGCAGGCTCAGGGTTCAGCATGTCACATGCATTATTTTGTAATTTCTCACAACATGCCTACGAAGTAAGTATCAAAATTAACCCCATTTTTCAGATAAGGAAACTGAAGCATAAGTAGGGTAAGGCCCCACAGCAAGAAGGTAGTAGAGATAAGATTCAAATTCAGCCTGGCTAAAGGATCCAAGCTATCAACTGCGAAATCAGAAATGAGTGCTTTCAAGGTTTCTGGTCTTCAATTAGATTCGTTCAGCAATTTTACAAAAATTAATCCAACAAATATTCTAGGCATATCTACAAGGTGCTACACCCATAGTATTTAGCCAGGACCAAAAGTGCTTCCATCTCCAAATTGCAAGTCCTTGAAATGTCAACCTTTTGCTACTTGGTTTGGCTGCTTAAACTATAACCAGTTGATGCCTATGTCTGTCTTGTGCCAAAGTTTTTGCTCAATGACTTTTCTACCTCTTACGTGCCTCCTTACTTGATACCCTCTACTTGTTAGCATCCAGAAGAAAATTCCATCCTCCAGGTGAGCATGTGGTTGACTATGACCTCCCTTGTCATGGAAACCATACTTCTGTTAATGCAACCGACATTTATATTAGCGTTTTCAGCCACGTTGTAGGTGTCAGTGTTGCTAAACTCATCCTGATATTGCCTCGTCAGAACTGTCAGGTGTGTGGCCCTCAACCTGAGAGGATTACTGATTCCTGCTTTTATCTCTGTTGAGTTTTATTTCTTTCAATAGGCACTATTCCCATTCTCATTTCTCTCATCTGATGTATGTCCCCTGGCTCAGAATGGACGCTACATTTAATTGCCCAGTTGTTATGGACTGAATTGTATCTCCCCAAAATTCATATGTTGAAGACTTAACGCCAAATGTTGCTATATTTGGAGATGGGGCCTTTAAAGAGGTAATTAAGGTTACATGAGGTTATAAGGGTAGGACCTTAATCCAATAGGACTGGTGTCCTTATAAGAAGAAGATGAGGACCAGGAGTGTGTGGTGCACAGAGAAAAGGCTGTGGAAGGACAAAGTGAGAAGGTGGCCATCTGCAAGCCAAGGAGAAGCCTCAGGAGAAACCAAACCAGCTAACACTTTGACCTTAGACTTCCAGCCTCCAGAACTATGACAAAATAAATTTGTGTGTTTAAGCCACCTAGTCTGTGGTATTTTGTTATGGTGGCCCTAGTTTACTAATATACCAGTCTTCTGGGTCTTTGTCCAAACCGCTGATAACAATCAAGAGGATTCAGCTATGTATCACATCACCAGACACCTCCCTCCAGGCTGATATTAATCCAAAATAATCCAAATAATCTAATTCTAACCTAATTAATAACAGTAACCATCAGCTCCTATTTTTTTTAAATTGTTCATGAAAATGTAGCAAGACCCATTTTCAAAATGATTTGCTGAAATTCGAAAATACCACATCTAGGTCATTTCACAGATCAGTAACATTAATAATCATGCAAATTTCTCTGTGATCTTGGACAAGTCACCTTACCCCTTTGGGCCTCAGATGCCTCATCTGTGACATTTGGGGATGGGGATTCCACCATCACAATGATCAACACTACCATTTACTAAGAGCTCCCTAAGCATTAGTTTACTGCACCAAGCACTGTGCACCCATCTCTTATTTAATCCTCTCAATGATCCCACTAGGTAAGAATCATTGGTCCTGTCCACCATCACAATGATCAACACTACCATTTACTAAGAGCTCCCTAAGCATTAGTTTACTGCGCCAAGCACTGTGCACCCATCTCTTATTTAATCCTCTCAATGATCCCACTAGGTAAGAATCATTGGTCCTGTTTTCTGCATGAGTAAACTGCAGTTCAGACAGGTCAAGGTACTTGCCCAAGATCACAGAGCAGGTGGCCAGCAGAACTCTAACAGGAACCCAGGTGGCTACATTGAGTACAGGAGTGCATCTCCCCACACTGTTACCTGTATTTGTTCTTCTTCCTTGGTGTGAGGGTTGGGGTGCGGCCCCTCGAGGGGGTGGTCTCACAGCTCCCTCTGGCCCCCAAGGCCTGAGATGCCCCTGTGCCCACTCCTTTGGTTCTGTTAGTCTTCTCCACCCAGGGCGGGTCAAAGTCTGGTGGGGGGGGCCGGGTGCCTGCTGGGCTTGCAAACAGAGTCTCATCCACATATGACGCCCTGGCCTTGACTCGGTAGCCTCCCCGGCAGTGGCGCTGAGGGTGGAGGGTCTGCATCCCACTTATGGCCAGCTCCACAGGGGTCTTCATGCTGCCTGTGGACCTGGGTGAGAGCAGGTATGCTCTGCCCCCCAGGCCCTGCCTCCAGGGCTCCCTGTGAAAGGTGGTCAGGGTGGCACCCTTAGCCAGTAGCAGTGCCAGCCAAGGAAGACTGGTAATCTGTGAAGCCCCATTCCAAGGGCCAAAGGGTCTAGTCTTCCCCAACCAGTCCTTCTCAAAGGGGAGCTACCAACCTCGGGACACATTGGAAATTTGTTTGACTTTTTTTTAATTGTCATAATGATAGGGAAAGCTGCTACTGGGAAATATTTAATGAATAAATAAATATGCACTTCTCGCATACAGTGTGTGCTCAACAAATATTTGTAGAATAACTAGGGGGAAGAAGGAGAGAAGGCACCTGTGCCCATTTTGGCACCAACCAGAAAACAAACATAGTATGGTGGGAGGAGAAGACAGGCAGCTCCCTATATCCTGTGTATATTTATGGGGGTGGGGATAATGATACACAGTATTGATCCCATGCCTACCTAGTGCAAAGAGCTTCACAAGCATTGCCTCATTCAATCCTCTCAACAGCCCTGTGAAGTAGCTTCGATTATGTCCATTTCAAGAATCACGAAGCTGAGGCTTCAAATGGTGAAGTCACATGTGCAGATTACACCTATAAAGCTAAGACAGTGGAAGTGGAACCTGATATGAATCCAGAACTTGTGCACTCGACCACTCTGCTATTGGGGGATCGCGCCCTCCCTACCCCCACCGCTCCACATTCTGCGATCCCCACGTGAATGGCCCGGTTAATGCCCGAGGTCCCAGCATTCTTGACTTATTCTCCTACCTAAGCATCTTGGCTCGCGGGCGTCGGATGCAATCTCAGCGCCCCCTCCATGCGCCTCGTCCCCACCGGGTCTTGATGTCTCGGGGGGGCGCGGGGACGCGGGGCGCACGGGCACCCGCGGCGCGCGGTGCATCCGAGACCCCCGTTAACCTGCAGCCGGGAATCCCCCGGACCCGGTGGGTACCGCGCGCGGACCGACTCCCCGGGGGCAGCAGGGCCCTAGCGACTTGTGCTCGGCGTGCGCATCATGCAAACAGCAACCAGCCTGCAGCGGGGCGGACGCGAGCCGGACCATTCGCGCCCGGGGGGTGGGGCATCCCGTTCCTGACGCCCCGGAGTTCCTCAAAGCCACCGAGAGGGTCCTCTCCGGCCAGTCGGAGGTGTGTGTACTAGGTCTCCTGGGGCTGCGGGCACAGGGAGGAGCGCAGGCCAGGCCGCGTGGGAGCGGCGCCTCCCCCGGCCGCGCAGTTGGTTCGTCCCCGTAGCCCCGCCCCCTTCCGGGTTCCGCGTGCGGAGGCCCTCATGGCGGCCGGCGATCGCCCGGCGGCCGGGCCTAGGTCGCCAGCTGCCATGGCTCAGTGGAGGAAGAAGAAGGGGCTCCGAAAGTGCAGGGGAGCGACCGCCCAGGTTCGCGGCAGCGACTCAGAGGACGGAGAGTTTGAGATCCAGGCGGAAGATGACGCCCGGGCCCAGAAGGTAGGAACGCGGGGTTGGGATACACATTGGGACCCGAGACCCGGCTCCGAGCAGCGCCCCGCGGCCTCAGTTTCCCCAGCTGGGGAGTGGGCACGGCAGAGGGTGGAGAGGAAGTCTGCCGGCCCGGGAATGGAGGCTCCGGACCGCCGACCTGATCACGTGTCTCGGGGACTGTCACTCCCCGAGTCCGGCGGCCGGAGCCTCCTGGTTCCAGACGCTGGGGCCTGCGGACCTTCCTGCCGGCTCTTGGTGACGCGCCCCTCATTGGCTGTCTCCTGCCTAGGGGGCGTATCCTAGTTCCCATTCGCCCAATGAAAAGTGCGGATGCAAAAGATATGACTTTGAGAGTTTGGGCGTTTTTGAGAGGTTGAATTGAGGAGATGACGGACCCCGTGGCTTGAGACAGTGACGTCCCCAAACCTCTGGGAAACTAACAGTAAATTAAACTTGTATTCGTTGGCCATTTACAGTGTGCCAGGCTCCGTGCTAAGAGCTTTCCTTTAATCCTAACACCAACCTTGTGCACTGAGTACTGTCACCCCCGTTTTCCGGAGGAGGAAACTGAGTCCTAGAGGGGACAAAAACCGTGACCAAGACCTCACAGCTTGTGAGTGGAAGAGCCAGGATTCAGACCCGGTATGGTCTGGTGTCATTCCCAATGCTGCATGCCAAATGTATGCACATGGGGGAGGGGGTGGCAAATGTGACAGAGTAGGCTCTGGGTAAGGAGATGAAAAAGTGGGCATTTATATAAAGAGAAAGGACCACACCCCAAGACAGGGACTGGATAAGACCTTATTTCACTGTTTTCCCCCAAGTCTGGCCAGTGCCTGGGATATGGTAGGTGCTCAATAAATGTGGAGAAACCACAAAATGTAATGAACCGCACAAATGGGCACAGGTAGTGAGTACCAAAGAACAGAAGTCTGTATGTGTGTATCAGACACAGCCCTGCGTTCAAATCTGGCCCAAACCTGTGCTGGCTGTGAGACATTGGAGAAGTTGCTTAACCTCTCTGTGTCCCACTTTCCAAATCTTTAGAAGATAGATGATTGTATGTACCTCAAAGATTGTTGAAGAGATTAAATGACATGGCATCCGTACATTCTACTCATTCAGTAAATATTGCTGGGGCACCTATGTGTTCTAGGCATTTTGCTTTTGTGTACCTACAGCAGGGGCTTACAAAAGGGCAAACTTCTCCTGTAAAGGGCCAGATGGCAGATCTTGTAGGCCTTGTGGGGCCATATAAGATCACTGTCTGCTTCAATTCATTCATTTATTTATTTATTTTGGTAATCCTTTAAAATGTAAAAACCATTCTTAGCTCACAGACTTTGCAAGACAGGCTGTGGCTTTGACCCAGAAGATTGTAATGGATCACAGAGGGATCACAGTGGAAAAAACCTAGACTCTGAAGTTGGTTCAAATCCCTAATGCCCCACTTGCTGGCTGTGTGACCTTGGGCAAGTCACTTCACCTCTTTGTGCCTGTTTCCTTGTCTGTAAAATAGACATAATGGTACCCACTTGGGGGCTGGCCAGTTAGCTCGGGGGGCTGGTCAGTTAGCTCAGTTGATTAGAGCGTGGTGCTAATAACACCACGGTCCAGTGTTCAATCCCTGTACAGTCCAGCCACCCCAAATAAAAGAAAAAATAGTACCCACTTCACAGGGTCATTGTAAGGATTAAGTGGATTAAGTTATATGAATGCTTGGAGTAGCACCTGGCTTATAGTAAGTGCCATGTGAACTTTAGTGCTTAAGAACTAGTGCTTCATAAATGCTATTTCTGAGAGGAAGAGGACAGCCATGTAGTCTGAGAAGGCTGCCCGGAGGCGATGTCTGGGTTGGATTTAGCTGTGCTGGGACAAATGGGCATACAGGAGGCTGGACTTGAGAGAGAACAGAGTTGGGGTGATGGATGAGAAAGGAGATTGCAGTGGGGCGTGGGCAGGACAGCTTTAAAAAGTCTAGTACCTCACACATGGCAGATGTTTTTTGGCTCTTTAAAGTTTTTCATTTCAAGAGTTTTGAATGACAGGCCAGGAATGATGATGATGATGATGATGGTGGTGATAATGCCATCAGTTATGTGCCTTTCTAAGCTTTACACTTACCCGTTTCATCTCACAACACCCCGTGAGGCATCACCTCTTGTCATCCCCATTTTCCAGATATGGAAGCACACACCCAGGGACATTAGTTCCCTTGCCTGAGTCCTTACAGCTGGTAAGTGACAGAGTTGGGATTCAAACCCAGGCAGTCTATCCACAGAACCCACTCTGACCCTTTGCCGTGTTCTGGCCCAGTCAAAGGAGAATCTTATAGCAAAGGAGTCATGAGATCTAGAGAGTCAGCTGCTTGAATGGGGGAGAGACGGGTGACAGCGCAGCACCTTTCCTACCCACAGTGGTCTGATTGTGCCTGGAGTGACACTGCTTCTCTGTTCTTCCCTCCCAGCTGGGGCCTGGCAGACCCCTGCCCACCTTCCCCACTTCAGAATGCACCTCGGACGTGGAGCCGGACACCCGGGAGATGGTGCGAGCCCAAAACAAGAAGAAGAAGAAGTCTGGAGGCTTCCAGTCCATGGGTGGGTGAGCAAGCTGGGCATCCAGGGACTTTAGGGGAGTGGCAACAGGGATTCATTGTGCCCTCTGCACTCAGTTCCTGATGTCTGCTCTAGGCCCAGCACTGTGGTATGTGTTGGGTGGACTGAAGTAGCAGACACGGTCTCCAAGGACTTCAGAGCCTTGTGGCGGGGGGGGTGGGGGGGTGGCAGCCAACAGACAGAACAGTCAGAGCAGGTCTCACTGTCTGTGCAGGAACAGGCAAAGACAGTTGAGGATTTACTACACGACAGAGTGACATTTCTGAGGGAGGGAAAAGATGGAAGAGTGGGGTGGTGTCAGGACACCTGGCTGGGGGGGGGGGGGGGGGGGGTGGCAGCCAACAGACAGAACAGTCAGAGCAGGTCTCACTGTCTGTGCAGGAACAGGCAAAGACAGTTGAGGATTTACTACACGACAGAGTGACATTTCTGAGGGAGGGAAAAGATGGAAGAGTGGGGTGGTGTCAGGACACCTGGCTAGCTGGAAATAAAGCTGTATTCTCTTGCTCTCTACAGATCAGTAGCAAGTGGGGCAAGGATATAAGTATGTGTGTGACCTGAGCATTGTGTAATTTGACTCTTTGAAAACTAGGCATATACAGATGGTGCTGATTTAGGATGATTCAACTTATAATTTTTCAACTTTATAATGGGTTTATTGGGGTAAATGCATTTTTGACTTATGGGTTTATAAGGACATAACTCTGTTGTAAGTTGAGGAGCATCTGTGTATGCCAAAAAGCACTTATATGCAACCTATGGGATAGACAGAGGGTTAATATCCCTGATGTACAAAGAGCTTTTACAAATCATTAAGAAAAAGACAGAAAGTGAGTAGTCAGTTCACAGAAGGACTCCGGCTGGCCAGTTAGTATACCAACAATGTGCCAGACTTCATCAGTAATCAAAGAAAAACAAGTAAAAATATCTACATATGGCTATTTTTTGTCTTTTTGAATAACAGAGATGGAGGATTGACCAAAATGCGACTAAAACTGTGGTGCTTTCGTACCTCCAGGCCTTCAGCTGTCCACAAGCCCATGTCATATTCAGTCCCCAAAGCTCTCCTCCCCTCAGCACCTTGTGCCTCTCTTCTCCACACCCACCCCGGCAGCTTCCTGACCGCTTCCTCCTTTAATTATTGAGAATTTTGAAAATATAGAAAAAAATAGAATGCAGTGAGTCTCCATGCACCCATCCCCAGCTTCAGTCGTCTTTAATGGTCAGTCTTGTTTTATCCTTGTCCCCACCTGCTTGTCCATCTCACCACCCTGGGGGATTCTGAAGTGAATCTCAGACATCCCCTCATTGTATCCATAAGTACTTCACTCACACCTCTGAGGGATGCAGGACCTCACCTCATCTGAAACAAACACACAGTGTCCTCCAAGACCCTGTCAGCATCCAGAGATCCCCTGTCGTCTCGTGACATTAAGAGTGTGTTCAACTCAGAATCCAAATAGGGTTCATAAAGTGCAGTCGGCGCCTGCACCCAAACCACGTGATCCAAGGCTTCCTGGGGAGTGGGCAACCTAGGAGATCTCAGTGAATGAGCAGGGGTCTGTCGCCCAGCTGGGATCTCACTCTTGTCCATTCTTGCAAGAGCCTATTTGCACACCTCCAGGGATGTGCAGCTCACTACCCACCTCTTAAGTCTCATTTAAACTTTCAGTTTCTGCTTGATCACATTCCTTTTTCCTTGCTACTTATTTGTCAATGAGACGGTCATTGGTCCTGTAAGGATTTCCGTGGGGTGGTGCTACAGGGCTGCTCCAGCCCCCTGACCATTCCCATGTCTCTCCCAGGCTTGAGCTACCCAGTGTTCAAGGGCATCATGAAGAAGGGCTACAAGGTGCCAACGCCTATCCAGAGGAAGGTAAGGGGCGGGTTGACGGGGTGGAGGCAGAGGATGAGCAACTTAGCCCTCCCGTCTGGCCTCTTGACAGTGCCGCATGTCTGAGCTGTCCCATCTATTGCCCCCTTCACTCTGGCTGAAGCCCCAAGTAGCCTACCCATTTTACAGGTGGAGAAAGCTGGGCCCAGTGGAAACTTGACCCTGAGCTTCTTTGCTAGTTGATCCTCCCTGAACTGCCCACTGCTGAGCCCCTGCCCGGGCAGCTCACAGGCACCCCATCCTCACTCAGGGCTCATGTTGCTGTTTTCAGAAGTTAGCCGAGTGGGAGACAATGTTTCTCTGCGGTTCCTAGGGGGAGGACTAGACTGGGAGGTAGAGTCTGGCTCACACTACAGAAGGATGTTCTAACAGTGGAAAGAGTTCGGGGTAGTGAACTGGACATCCCTGGAGGTGTGCAAACGGGCTTCTGCAAGAATGGACAAGAGTGAGCTTCTGGCTGGGCAACAGGCTCCTGCCCATTCACTGAGATCTAGCTCACCCACTCTCCCAAATCCCTGGAGCACGTGGTTTGGGTGCAGGTGCTGACCCCCAGCCCTCCCCCGCTGTGCCTCTCCAGACCATCCCGGTGATCCTGGACGGCAAGGACGTGGTGGCCATGGCCCGCACAGGCAGCGGCAAGACGGCCTGCTTCCTCCTCCCCATGTTTGAGCGGCTCAAGACCCGCAGTGCCCAGACTGGGGCTCGTGCTCTCATCCTCTCGCCCACCCGAGAGCTGGCCCTGCAGACCATGAAGTTCACCAAGGAGGTGCATTGGGGACGGAGGGCAGGGGCTGGGGGCAGCTAGGGCTGACTTGGGGACAGGCAAGGAGGTCTCTCAATCAACCTCTCTCTGTGTCTCTCCACAGCTGGGCAAGTTCACTGGCCTCAGGACAGCCCTGATCCTGGGCGGGGACAAGTAAGGGCCCCCTCATCCCATGCCACAGTCATCACCCTGTGTCTCAGGGCATCCGATTGATTGAGCCTGTGTTACTAATTCATAATAGCAGCTTTTCTACACATTCAGAAAAAAACAACAAGGGGAAACATGCAATAAAATATTAAAAATGAATTGCCCACAGAAGCACTGCCACTCAGAAAGAGATTCTGAGGCTGCCAAAATAGAACTGTCAGCTCACAAGGGTCAGCTAAACACGTAGGGTAGGTGTATATATTTTAATATGCCTAATTGTAGGTTGTTTAAAAAAGGGAATGCACAAAAATCGAGGAGTGTTTATAGTAGCTCAATTTTGCAAGATGTATTATTTTCCCGATGTGCTTATATCCTTCCAAGGTAGTAGGTGCCACACCTGTTTTACAGTTGAGCAAACTGAGGAAGTGGTGGACCCAGAGCCATACAATGATTCTGTAGCAGGATTGGGCTCACAATCCATTGTCCCGTCCCACCCCATCCTCCATCCCTCATTTCTCCCTCAAAGGGCAGCACCTTCTTTGTTCTCTCAGAAGCCGCTGTTAACAATGTCTTGATTCTGAGAGAAAGTTTTGCTTTTCAGTGTTTTTGTCTACGTTGTAATTTATTATCTCTATAGTTTGTGATCATCAGAAAGGCCTCCCTGATCTAGGCCTGGCCCAGTATTCTGGCTCCTTCAGGTGTCCCAAGGGTGTTTGAAAAGAGGATTAAAGTTAGGGAGGTGTGCCCCAAAGTCTTAAGGACAAGCACATAGACATCCTGGGAACTTGGGTTCTCATTGGGACTGGCAGTTCCAGGTTTAGTTGTAGGTGGCACTGTGGGTTGAAGGCAGCTTGGTTGCTATCTGGAGCAATAAAGGGAGCCAGATGGGTTCTGTGGTTGAGCCCATCTCTTTGGGGAGCTCTGTTGTCCCAATTCTTTTGTATGTTTCACTTGTATCTCTTGTCAGGGCAGTACCTTTGCCTAGTATCGCACCAACAGCCTTTCCTCAGTTCCAAACCTTGGTCAGTGTTCTTGGGGACAGGGTGTGGGGAGTCACCTGGGCATTTGATTAGGAGAGGAAGAGAGATTAAATAGATCTATCCTTCATGCTGACCCCTCCTGTCATCCCTAGAATGGAAGACCAGTTTGCAGCCCTACACGAAAATCCTGACATGTGAGTTTGTGCATTGGGGTTGATGCTGTGGAGTCCCAGATGGCCAGCAGCTGGGGGGTGAGAAGAGGGCTGTGGTGGTAGCCCTGGTCCTGGATGACCTAGCCTGTGCACCCCTTTCCAGAATCATTGCTACCCCAGGGAGGCTGATGCACGTGGCTGTGGAGATGAACCTGAAGCTGCAGAGTGTAGAGTATGTGGTGTTCGATGAAGCTGACAGGTGAGGCTGCGGGTTGCACCCCGATTGTTTATGTCAAGGCTGGCCCCAATGCTGGGAAAGCAGCTGGAGAGCAAGTCAGCCAGGAGAAATTGGCTGAGATCAAAGTAATATCTACCCCATTGTGGGCCGCAGACCACAGGCAGTGCTGGAACTCATCTCTGGGGCTCCCCAGCCAATGTTTTTAGGTTTGCATTTTAGGAGTATTGAAAAAAATAAGAGAACAAATAACACATGATTTCAAGGAGAATTTTTTAAAGCACAATGTTGAGAACATGGACTCTGGAGCCAGACAGGGTTGGGATCAAATCACAGATGTGCTACTTCAGCTCTGTGAACTTGGGCAAGTCACTGGGGGTCTCTGGGCCATGGCTGCCTCTGCTGCAAAGTGGAGATAAAATAGCACATAGCCCATAGGGGTGCTGTGAGGATGGAAAGAATTGATACTTGTGAAGTACTTAGAACCAGGCCTGGCACACAAAGGCTGCTATCATTTATTTCAACCTGAATTTGTAAGAAACATAACTGAGACAACAGATGCAAGATTTCGGGGTTATTATTGCTTAGGATGAGGTTGTGCAATAAAGCATGAGTTAAGAAATGTGTGAGGTGAACACCAGTGCATGCAGCAGAATTCGTGGGCTCAAGGGTGACTGAGGGTTGGAACTCCTTGGAACGGAAGCCCCTGTCCTGACCCATCCTGCCCTTCGGGCTCCCAGGCTCTTTGAAATGGGGTTTGCAGAGCAGCTACAGGAGATCATCGGCCGCCTCCCCGGGGGCCACCAGACCGTGCTGTTCTCCGCCACGCTGCCCAAACTGCTGGTGGAGTTCGCCCGGGCAGGTGAGTGAGCGGGGAGCTTGGACTCAGGGTGGGGTCTAGGGGAGGTGTCAGGGCTTGTCCCTTAGTGACCCCCCTATCGACCCTCCCCGGTGTCCACCGCAGGCCTCACGGAGCCCGTGCTCATCCGGCTAGATGTGGATGCCAAGCTCAACGAGCAGCTCAAGGTGAGGCTACGCCCATCCCCCCTTTCCAGGCCCGTGGCCAGAAACCCTTGAGCCAACCCACGTGGCCCCTCTGCCCACAGACCTCCTTCTTCCTCGTTCGCGAGGACACCAAGGCCGCTGTGCTCCTCCACCTGCTGCGCAACGTGGTGCGTCCTCAGGACCAGACAGTGGTGTTTGTGGCCACAAAGCACCACGCCGAGTACCTCACTGAGGTGAGCAGGACCCTGACGGTGCCCTTGTTGGGGAAGACTCTGTTGCGACCCCTCCTTGTACGGACCTTCATCTTGAGCTGTAGTTCCATGTTTGGCCAGCAGAGGGAAGCACTAGAGCGGGACATGGGCATGGGCCTGGGCTCAAGACATTTTTATTCTTTCTCTTTTTTTTAAAATTTTTGTTGAATCATACATAATTGATTATACATATTTTGGGTGTTCAACGTTGACATATGCTGATCAAATCAATATTACTGACATTTTTATTCTTTTAAATTTTTTATTATGAAAAATTTCAAACACAGACTCACATGAGAAAATAGTATAATAATCTCCAGGCACTCATTATCTAGGTACAACTGTTACTACTCATGGCCAGTCTTGATTCATCTGTTAGTTCCCCTTCCGTCCAGGTTATTTTGAGCCATTTCCCAGCCTCCTATCATTTTTGTGTGGATTGTCAGTGTTCAATGTGTTTGACTTTAAAACTGAGGCATAACCCACATACAGTAAGCTGGGTAAAGTGCCCTGGTCATATGTTAGCAGCTCGTTGAGTTTTTTCACATGTGTATACCTATGTGTATAGCTGCATGAAAGCCTGGGGAGTCCTGGTACCCTAGAGCCTGTGGGGCCCCTTCCAAGTCAGTGTCACCACCCCAGCAGCCACATCTGGGCTCTGTCATCTGAGGACATGGTTCACTGGGTTTCACTTTCTTGACACATTTAACAGTGCTTCCTCTGTGCAGCTGTTGGGGTCACCAGTGAATAATACCAAAATAGGAATTTTTAAAAACAGCTAACACTTTCACGGTGCTTCCTGTGTTCCAGTCTCTGTTCTCAGCACCGTATGTGTATTAACACATTTGATTCTCATAACAAAGCTACAAAGAGGGAGCGATTATTCTCCCCATTCTACAGATGAGGAAAGCAAGAAACAGAGGTTCGGTAACTTGCCCAAGGTCACACAACTTGTTAGTGACAGGGTCAGGATGAAGCTTGTGCTCTGTGGTGGCACTGGGAGCTTCCGTAAGGGAACCCTCTACACATATCTCCTTTGATACTCCAACAGCCCTGCAGAGAGTGGGGAGGTGATACAAGCCTCATTCATACTGATAAAGATACCAAACCGGGCCACCCAGCAGAGCTGGGATTGAAACTGCGGGTGCCAGGCTGCAGAACCCACAGTCTTACCTCCATGCATGGTGCGCCCGCCGTGGCCTGGACTCCCCTCCCCATCTCCAAGTCTCCTTCTTGCCTCCCTCCCCTCTCTGCTCTGAGCAGCTGCTGACGAGCCAGTGGGTGAGCTGTGCCCACATCTACAGCGCCCTGGACCAGACGGCCCGCAAGATCAACCTCGCCAAATTCACGCACGGCAAGTGCTCTGCGCTCATCGTGACCGACCTGGCCGCCCGGGGCCTGGACATTCCGCTGCTGGACAACGTCATCAACTATAGCTTCCCTGCCAAGGGCAAGCTCTTCCTGCACCGTGTGGGTAAGGAGCCTGGGCTGGACTGGATGCCGGCAGAGGTGCCAAGTCCTGGTGGGAGCCAAGGGCATGGAGCTTGACCCCTGCCACTACAGGTGGGGAAACCAAGGCCCAAGGAAGGGCCTGTGGGGAATGCAGCCTAGGCATGACCCTAATATCAGCCCCATGGCTCCATGTAGGTGATTTTCCCTTTTCCTGATTCCCCGGCCCCCTGCCACTACAGGTGGGGAAACCAAGGCCCAAGGAAGGGCCTGTGGGGGATGCAGCCTAGGCATGACCCTAATATCAGCCCCATGGCTCCATGTAGGTGATTTTCCCTTTTCCTGATTCCCCGGTCCTGGGCTTTGTCTGTCTCTTTCTTACCATGATACTTAACAATGTGGCCCCCTTAGCCCCCTCCTTCTTGAATTCCTCTCCCCGAGACTCTGTCTCTTTAGCTCCGCTCTTGAGTGCATTTTCTTTCTTTCTTTTTTTTTTTTTAAAGATGACCAGTAAGGGGATCTTAACCCTTGACTTGGTGTTGTCAGCACCATGCTCACCCAGTGAGCTAACCAGCCATCCCTATATGGGATCCGAACCCGTGGCCTTGGTGTTATCAGCACCACACTCTCCCGAGTGAGCCACGGGCCGGCCCTTGAGTGCCTTTTCAACCTTTAAAGAATGTACCGGCCCCTCTGCCTCCTGCTGCATTGCTCCATATAGGACCTCCTGGCTGCGCCACTTTGTCACATCAGGACGTGGGCCCCACCTTCCCCTCAGCCCTCCCAGGCCAATGCACTCCCTTTAATTTTTTTTATTACAAAAGTAATACATGCTCTGTGTTACTTTTCTCAGGCTGCCATAACAAAGCATCACAAACTGGGTGGCTTAAACAAGAGGAATGTGTTGTCTCACTATTCTGGAGGCTAGAAGTCCAAGGTCAAGGTGCCGGCAGGGCTCTGAGGGCCAAGAGGAAAGGGTCTGTTCCAGGCCTCCTGCCAAGCTCTGGTGGCTGCCGGCAGTCCTCGGCATTCCTTGGCATTCCTTGGCTTATAGAAACATCACCCCAATCTCTGCCTTCACCTTCCTTTGGTGTTCTCTGTGTGTGTGTGTCTGTCTCCAGATTTCCCCCTTTGTAAGGACACCCATCGTATTGGATTAGGAACCCATCCTCCTGCAGCATGGCCGTGTTTTAACTAATTACATCAGCAATGACCCTGTGTCCAAACAAGCTCATATTCTGAGGTACTGGGTGGTAGGACTTCCACACGAATTCTGGGGGGCACAGTTCTACCCATAACATATTCATCACAAGAAAATTGGAAAGTTCAGCAAAGCACCCAGAGGCAGTAGGTCCCCAGCCCTCACTGATGATTGGGAGGGCGCCTGATGTGCAGGCACCAGCGTCGGTCTGGGCCAGGCATCTGACTTGTAGCGGCCTCCTCATCCTCATGACAGCCCTGTGCCGTGGGTACCAACAGCGTCAGCTTCATTTTACAGATGAGGCCAGGGAGCTTTACTAACTGGCAGGGTGTCATGCAGGTAGCAGAGGGGGGAGGCTGGGATTGGATCCTAGTAATCTCATTTCAGAGACCTCCACACCACATGATCCATGATCCCCCATTGCTGTCTGATGACACGGCTGTCATTTGTTGTGTGTCTTTTGCTGCCTTCTCTTTTTTTAATGGTGAAATATCCATAAAATTCAGTTTACCATTTTAGCCATTTTCAAGTGCACAGTTCAGTGGCATTAAGTACATTCTTATTGCTGTGCAACCATCACCAGAACTTTTTCATCTTTCCAAACTGAAGCTCTGCCCATTGACCACTAGCTCCCCATTACCCACTCCCTCAGCCCCGATAACCACTATTATGCTTTCTTAGCCTTCTTTTAACTCACAAATATGCATGTTATGCTTGTAAATATGTGTGCAGGAAAGAAGAAACTGGAGAGAGGGTTTCTCTGAGTTGTTTTACATGTGACTGAACATCGTTGAATAAGTGTATTCTGCCTGCCCATGGTGGAGAGTGGGACCCCTGGGAGAAGTCATCTGAGGGAAACACAGCGGGAGCCTCCATCCTGCTGACCTTCCATTGGGGCTTATACGAAGCCACCATCTGGGTGTCTACCTGCAGGTCGGGGGGGCACACATCCCTGTTGGTTGGCCTGCTGTCCCCTAGTTTCCATTGCTCTGTGGAGGGCCGGTTCTGCATGTCCCTAGAGGGGTCCCCAGAATCCCCCAAGGGAATTTCTTATGTGCCACGTGACCTGCAATATAAATCAGACAACCTCAAATTCATCTCCTAATGTGGTAACACTTTGTTTTCCCAAGATAGAGAGGCAAACTGAAATGTAATGACACAGGGATTTAACATAAAATTGGAATCATAATGGGTGTTCTTTTCTATAATCTACTTTTTCTTTTCTTTTTTGGGGGCATCACCATACATCGTGTATGTTTTTCATTCACTATTAAATGTCATTCTATGACAGGGGTTGGCAACTTTTCTGTAAAGGGCTAGGTATTAAGTATTTAGGCTTTGTGGGCCTTATCATCTCTATCATAACTACTCACCTCTGCTGTTGTAGTGTGAAAGCTGCCGTGGATAACACACGGATAAATGAGCGTGGCTGTGTTCCAATAAAACTCTACTTACACAGACAGGCAGGGGGCCGGATTGGGCCCACAGGCTGTAGTTTGCCCACCCCTTTCCTCAGCTGTCTAAGTCCCACCATGTGGTTGTCCGCTAATCAACTTAACCAGTCTCCTGTCCTCAAGTCTTTAGGTAGTTTCTAACTTAGGACTATTCCAGTCAGGGCAGCACTAAATATCTTTTTGTGTGAATCTTCGCTTCCTTGATTATTTCTTTGGGAAAAACTCCCAAAAGTGGAGATGCTGAAGACTTTTGATGCCGATAACGAGCAGTGCCTTATCCTTATTTTTGCCAAATTCCCAGAGTACTGTGTGTGCTCATGTGCTCTCCTGCAGGTAAACCTGGTGACTATGACTGAAGTTGCCCTCTTGTAGGTGGGGACAGCAGCCAGCGAGGTGCGGGGCTGTGGCCTGGCTCACACCCTTAGGGTTTGGCCTGTGGGGCTCTTGCTAGAGTTGGGGTCCTTTTCCCTTGCTTCAGCTTGACCATCTCCTCCCTGCAGGCCGCGTGGCCCGGGCTGGCCGAAACGGCACAGCCTACTCCTTGGTGGCCCCAGATGAGGTCCCCTACCTGCTGGACCTGCACCTGTTCCTGGGCCGCTCCCTCATCCTCGCCCACCCCCCTGAGGAGCCCTCAGGTGAGTGGGGGCTGGAGCAGGGCTGGAGGTCCCTGTGGAGCCCATGGGGCAGAGGATGCAGCCCTGTTCTGGCCTTGGGAGGAGGTGGAGCTGGACTTGACCCTAAGAGAAGATCCCTGTATTTTAAACTCAGAATTTCACGTAACAATCCAGATTTGTGGTTTCCCTGGGGTTCCCATGAAGGCAGTGCTAAGCTGCGGTGTCCCCATTAGATGGGCCCTGGCTCACAGCAGCCCCCACGGGCCTGCTCCTCTCTGTGTGGCCTGCCTTGCCCCTGCAGGCATCTGATTTGAGACCCTGCACTTGACCAAGTTTTCAGGAGAGCCTGGGGAGGGAGAGGGAGACTGAGGCTCATTCAGGCCAAGCTCACAGAATGTTCCTTCATACACCCTAGGGTGGCATTGCATGGGGCAGGCAACAGCATCACCACAGCCTCTCTCTGTGGGTCTAGGTACACCTTGGCTCAGCCATCTGTGACGGAGGGAGGGCTGTCACCACCTCTGCTGTACAGTGAGGACACGGGCTTAGAAAGGCCAAACCACTTGCCACGTGGCAGTGAGGCGGGGCAGCCGAGATTCAGGTCTGGCCAGAGTCCTTGAGCTTTGGGTCCCACTCTGAGAGCTGAAGGGGTGTCCTTGGGACTAACCAGCCAGTCAGCAGAGAGCACAGCCAGCCCCGCCACCTCAGAGTCCTGGGTCCCCTCCGCCCCAGCCATTTACTCTTGGCTGCCAGTAGTGATCACTGGCCAGGCCGTGACTCCCTAAGGTGACCGAGTGGCCCTAAACTGTCCCTGCCTGGGAACCTTTGTGCCCAGAGGCAGTTTGAAAGCAGACATTGCAGCAGGAATGGCACAGGAGGAATGCAGCAGGAGGGCAAGGAAGGGTCTGCAAGAGGTGAGGGGCATGTGGGGTCACCAGAGGTAGAGGCACACGGGGCCCCTTGAGGGATAGCCTGGAAGCGGGGGCTCAAAGAGCAACTTCAAAGGGCTTCCCTGGAGGTGAGGCAGAGGGACTGGGGCCAAATGAGGGCATTTGACAGGCAGGAAGCAGGAGGGCACGGACCCTGTGCCCAGGGCCTGCTCACACACTCACCAGCACCCACCCTGCAGCTCAGATGCAGGCTCTGCAGCCCCTTGCCCACCTCCTGGGTTGAGACTGCGCAGTGGGGGTGGGAGGGGCAGAGAGGGAAGGAGCCACCCCTGGAGTAGTTACCTTTTACAGGGAGACCATGCTGCATTTGCCCCAAAGCTGGCTCAGGCTGACTTACTGTGGGGTGGTGAGAGGGCAGGCTCTTGACCCGGTGCTGGGTTGAATTCTGACACTGCCCCTTTCTCTGTGTGCCTCGGCAAGTCCCTGCACCTCTAGGAGCCTCAGTTTCCTTATCTCTAAAACGGGTTCATCAGTGCCTTCTTGCAAGATTGGCAGAATGTTGGTAGTTGACAGTGGGTGTTGGGGACACAGAGGTTCATTACACTCTTCCTCCTGTTTTTGTGTATTTTCCATAACAAAATGTTAAAACATGACAAAAAAAGCAAACAGGCACTTTCCTCCTAGGTTTGGTGTGAGGTAAGAGCAGATGGTGGTAATGTACTTAGCATAGCGCTAGGCACAGAGCAAGCCTTAGTAATTGGCATCTCCTGCTCTTAGTATTGCTAATACTTATTATTAACCATTGATGTCACTGTATTTTTATGGAGGCTGCCAGGGTTTGAATCCTATCTCTGACTCATTTGACAGCCTGGTAGTAATTTAACCTGAGCCTCGGTTTTCTTATCTGTAAAATGGGGTTGTTGTGGAGACTCATTAACAGAAATTAACAGAGTTTTTCTTAAGGAACCAAATAGTAAATATTTTAGGCTCCGCAGGCCCTGTCATCCATGCAGCTCCTCAACCCTGCCCTTGTAGTGAGAAAATAGCCAGAGACAATAGTTAAACAAGTAAAGTGGCTGTGTTCCAGTGGAACTAACTTTATGGAAACAGGCAGTCGGCCCACAGGCTGTAGTTTGTGGACGTCCGATCTAATGCATTCAAGTAGTGGCTGCTTGATAAGTGATGGTTTCTTTTGTGGTGATTCTTTTGTAGCTGTTTTCCTGGGATTCAGGGACCAGGGTGGGGCTGGGGAGGGGAGGCAGGGTGTGGGCAGGTGGGCTGGCAAGAAGGCCTCTCTCTGACTGGGAGCCATGGGGTGGCAGATGCAGTCGGTGTGGATGGCGTGCTGGGCCGAGTGCCACAGAGCGTGGTGGATGACGAGGATAGTGGCCTGCAGAGTACCCTGGAAGCGTCACTGGAGCTGCGGGGCCTGGGCCGTGTGGCTGACAATGCCCAGCAGCAGTACGTGCGCTCGCGGCCGGCACCCTCACCCGAGTCCATCAAGAGGGCCAAGGAGCTGGACCTTACTGGGCTGGGCCTGCACCCTCTCTTCAGTGAGTCCCTGCGTGGGGTAGGGGACAGGAGTGGCAGGTGGGCCCCGTGGAACCACCCCGGCCTCACACCTCCCTCCCTGACAGGCTCACGCTTTGAGGAGAAGGAGCTGCGGCGGTTGAGGCTGGTGGACAGCATCAAGAACTACCGCTCTCGGGCGGTGAGTGGGGGCCGGCGAGGCCCAGTGACAAGTGGCCGGTGGCCTGCAGTCACATGGAGATGGCCAGGGTGCTGGGATTTGGATTGCACTCCTGACCCTCAGTGGGTCCTCAGCAGGGGTTTGCATCTGAGCTTGCAGCTTCATTACCTGCAGTCTTGGCCTTGTCAGCTTCTCTCGAGATGCCCCCTGTTCTAGAACCATCCCAGCCTGGGCCACAGAAGGTCCCCTTGGGTAGCAACTCCCCACCACTTACAAATAGGTGGACTGAGGCTCACAGAGGGCAGCGACATGCCCTCGGCCTGTTAGAGGCCTGAAGAGCTGGCTGTCCATAGCCTTTCTTCCCTCTCTCCCACCCCTTGACTCCCACTGGGCACCCCATCTCGTGCACAGAGAAGAGGGTGCACAGAAGCAATGAAAGCCAGCCAGCTAGTAGCAAAATGCAGAATGTCATGGTTATAAGCACTGGTTTTAGAGCCAAGTGGACTTGGGGTTGACATTTGAGCTCTGGCTTTTCCTAGCTGTGTTACCTTCGGCAGGTCTCCCTTTCTAATTGGGAAACGCAGGTAATGAGAGTCCCCACCTCGTACAGTGGAGAAGACTTGGGGAGGAACGCCCGTAAAGAGCCCACTAAGCTGGGGAGGGTGGAATTGGGGGATGGGAAGCCAGTGGGCAAAGGACTTGGGTTTCCCATCCACAGACCATCTTTGAGATCAATGCCTCCAGCCGGGACCTGAGCAGCCAGGTGATGCGCGCCAAGCGGCAGAAGGACTGCAAGGCCATTGCCAGCTTCCGGCAGGGATGGCAAGAGCGGCAGGAGGGTCCAGCTGGCCCAGTCCCAAGCTGCCGGGCACCACAGGAGGAGCAGCCTGAAAAAGAGGACGAGGAGGACACAGGAGAGAGCACGGAGGTACAGCACCCCCTGGGCATGCTGGAGCCTGCACCTGGAGTTGGGGGAAGCGGGTGGGTTAAGTCTTAGCAGCCCATGGGGCTGTCGTCAGGACTGTGAGCAGTCGATGGGGGTGGATGCAATGATTCAGATCCCACTTCTGCTGCTCACGGGAGTCAGCAACTCAGAGCCTCAGCTTCCCCATCTGCAGAATGGGTGCATGGTGCTTGTCCACCGCCCCTCGTCTAAAAGCCTGGGGTCCAGATGTGTTGTGGGATGCGGAATCTTTAGCATGTGGCCACTGAGTAGGACATCACACCCTCAGTGGGGTGTCACCTGCCTTTGGACACATTAGAGGTTCTACAGCGAGACGGGCATGTCTCATGGGGATAGACACAGAGTAGTAGCCCCCTGTCGGCTGAGGTGGGCTTTTGCCACCAAGTGAGTTTCAGGGAAGTTCCTTTTCAGAACATTGTGGACAGAGGCACTGCAGCTGAGAGACTCTCAGTGAGCCTGAGCATGGCCTCCATCCTAGTCGGCCCCTTACCCCTCACCTACCTGTCCTGCCTCTGTTGGTCCTTGAGGTAGGGGTTGTGCTACATGTGCAGATGAGGAAATGGGTGGTCTCATGGGAGACCCGATCACCCAGTTAATAAATGGCAAAGCCAGGCTTTTTAAGTCCCCAGGAAGCCTCTGGTTCATGGACTCTGACTAGGCTGGTGGGTGGGGAGGCTGGGTTGGCTCCCCAGGGGCTGCAAGGGTGATGCTGGGCCTTGGTCTGCCAGGACGTATTTGCAGAGATTGTGGGCCGGAAGCGGCAGCGGCCAGGACCCGACAGGGGAGCCAAGAGGCGGAGGGAGGAAGCCCGGCAGCGGGACCAAGAGTTCTATGTTCCCTACCGGCCCAAGGACTTTGACAGCGAGCGGGGGTGAGTGGCCGGCTGGGTCCCTGGTGGGGCAGGCAAGGCCTGCTGGGCCCCCCCCATTGACCTGTTTGTATCTCCTCACCCTCCCTCTGCAGCCTGAGTGTTGGTGGGGACAGGGGAGCCTTCGAGCAGCAAGTGGCTGGCGCTGTCCTGGACCTGATGGGTGATGAAGCGCAGAACCTGACCAGAGGCCGCCAGCAGCTCAAGTGGTAAGTGCCTGACCTGACTGCCACTTGGCCCTACCAACAGGCGTGGTGGCTCCTCCCTGCCTGTCCTGACTCTTGTTTGATCCTGCACAGCAGGGACGTGGTCACTCACAGCAGGGGTGACGACCCCTGCCTGGCCTGTCTCCTTGATTTTATCACACATGACAGGGATCTTAACCCTGTCTGTCCCTTTTCCTGGCTGGTCTTTCTGGATATGGCTCATGACCCATTTTACTCATGAGAAATCTAGAGAGTGTGACAACCCAGTGTCATAGAGGCAAGGAGTGGTAGGTGCGGGTTGGAAATTCTCCAGGAGGCCCTTGTCCCTGTCCCAGGACCCAAATCTGATTGAATCTGCTCGTGACCCTTCCTTTTGTGACTTGGGCTGCTAGAGAAAGGTGAAGAGGGACAGAGAACAGGGCTTTATCGAGCACCTACTGCATGCCAACATGGCTGTGTTGTTTTCCTTTAATCCTCCAACAACCCAGTGAGAGGAAACAGGCTCTCGAGGGAAAGCCAGCCACCCCAGGCCACCTCCCTCCACCTCAGCCCTTCCTACTCCCTCTTCTGCAGGGACAGGAAGAAAAAGCGGTTTGTGGGACAGTCAGGACAGGAGGACAAGAAGAAGATCAAGACTGAGAGTGGCTTCTACGTCAGCAGCTCCTACAAACGAGACCTGTATCCGAAGGGGCGGGGCCATTGAGGGGGCGGGGCCGAGCGGTTTCTACAACAGCTCCTATAGGTGGAACCTGGCTGGGGTCCCAGAGTCTTCACCATACCACGTAGAGCTTCCTTAACGCGGCTTCCCAGCTACCAGAAGTGGAAACAGAAACAGAAAATTGATGATCGAGATTCAGAGGAGGAGGGAGCATCTGACCAGCGAGGCCCACCAAGAAGAGGTGGGAAGCGAGGCAGCCACCGAGGTAAGAGCCAGGGGAGAGAGTGTGGGTGTGCAGGTGGGCAAGGCAGGTGTTGTCAGATTAGGGAAAAAACGAGGCAGGAGAGGTGTAGCCCTAGTGCTGGGTCTGATGGGATGGGCGCTGCTGAAGCACTGGGCCCCCCATCACCCTCCACACACACGTTCCCCTGTCCCTCAGTGGACTTGTTCTGGCCTCTGATGGTCACTAGCACCACCTGACAGGCACTGTGCAGCTCTGTGCCCCTCCAGCAAATTGTTCCTGACACCTCTTGCTTCACAAATGAAGCAACTGGGATAACAATTAAGCCAGTTGTCCCAGAACCTAGACAACACAGGAGGTAGAACCTTGTGCACATGCTGCTATTCAGCCATTTTTCACCCGCAAAAATGGCAGTTGTATGTGGTTGGACGTGACAGAAAATGAGCGGAAAAGATTCTCTGTGGACACACTCAAGGGTGGGTTTTTTATTTATTTATTTTTTTTAAAGCAACACTGTAAGGAATTTTTTTCCAAAGCTGGCAATCAGAAAGCAACTTTGCTACAAGGAGGAGGTGATCACTGGGAGGCTGAGGAAGGATCTTTCTCAAACTGTGGGTTGGCAAGTGGTACAACGTCTGGACACCTGGCCCTCTTTGATCTGGCCTGGGTCCCTCAGCTGATAACAGGCTAAGATGGGAATGAAGCTGGCTTTGTCTGCCAGTGCCTGTGTGACCACTGCAGCATGGGCCAGCTCCGTGGGGTGTATCCTCCACATGCAAGGCCCTAGGTCAGCCCTGAGGAACAGAGGGTCCAGCGGTGGGGAGACAAGAGTGGCAACGCCCATCCACACAGCAGCCCTCCCCAGCTCACAACCTTTGGCCTGTCCTAAAGGGAGGGAACTAGAGTCTGGCCCCCTTTGCAGCCCCACACCTGCCCCACCCCCTCTGCGTGTGAGCTTGCTGTCAGGAAAAGGCCCCCACTTGCAGGGTGGGGACAGTCTCTGTCCTGCACATGCCACTCATGCCCAGGGGGGTGAGAAGACTGAGAATGCCCATTTTACAGGCTAGAAACCAAGGTGGCTCACAAGGGCAGTGGCTGGCCCTGGATCACCCAGCTGCCTGCCACCTCCCACCTGGGGCCTCCCCTGGGAAGAAGGGAGCTTGGGACCATATCCTGGGGCTCTCTCCGGTGGTTTTAGCCTCTGCCTGTCTCCTCCCAACCCCATGGGGCTGGTCACTGCCTTTTCTCTGTCCTTTAGCCTGGGCCTCTTCTCTGTCCATGGTTCCTCTTTCCATCTGTCTATGTTTTCCAGTCTGTGGATGTGTCTCCTTGTCAGCACTGATCCTTCTATTTCTCTTCTTTTTCTCCCTCTCTGTCTCTCTCTCTGTCTTTGACTTTCTGTGTCTTTTCTTCTGTCTTTCTTTCTGGGTCTCTGTCTCTTTCCATCTCTGATTCTGTGTCCCTATCCCTCTCTCTTGTCTCTTTCTCCCTGTTCTCTGTCCATGTCTCTCTGTTTCCTCCCATCTCTCTTGGTCTTTATCTCTTTCGCCTTGACTCTTTCTGTCTCTCTGTGTCTCTCCTGCTTCTTCTATCTTTCATTGTCTCTGCATATATACACATCTCTCAGTCTTTGCCTCCCTCTGTGTGTGTGTGTCTGTCTCTCTGTTTACCTCTTTGTGCCTCTCTCTATGTCCCAGTTTATCTTTGTTTCTGTGGGTGGGGCCCTGCCATCCTGGCCTTCTCCTAACTCACTTCTCAGCTCCTGTTTTGACCTGGGTAAAACTGCAGGCTGATGCTGTGGGCAGTGACATGCAGTGGCCTGGCCAGGCCAGGGAGGTGAGGAAGGCATGTGGGCTTCAGGAAAAAGCAGCTGTGCTCCCCTCTGCTCTGTTCTTATTGGAGGTGGTGGGTCCCTGCCAGGGGTCCTGGCCCCAGTGGAGACATCTGGGGCAGCCTTAATGATCATCTGTCTGGGAGCCCTGGGAAGGTCACTGTTGTGGGTGGAGAGGAGCCTGTTGGGGACAGGGAGCACAGAAGAGGAGGAGGAAGAAGACACAGGGCTTAGTGGGGAGCCAGGGAGGCAGGTGGTACTTGCTCTCCAGAGACCTGGAAGAACAGGCTGACAACTGCTTGTCTGGCTGATGTGGGGCCATTGACCTCTGATGCTGCTGCCACTTTGCTGTGTGACCCTGGACAAGTCCCTTCCCTTCTCTGGCCTCATCTGACTCCTCTCGTGCCTAAAGGAAGGTTAAGCTACAGCCTTTTTTTTTTTTTATCTAACAAGCGTAGCACATGGAGCCCATGGAGACAGGGATTGGGTCTGTCTTGGTCAATGCTGGGTCCCCAGTGCCTGGCATACAGTAGGTGCTCAATAAACTTTATTTGGATAATGTTTAATAATAAAGATTACATGTAAGAGTATCTTAAAATGGCCCAGGCCTTGTCCTGAGCACTTTAGACATGCAAACTCATTTACTCTTCATTAGGACCTGTGAGGTAGGTGCTGTTATTTGTAATTTGCAGATGGGGAAACTGAGGCACAATGGGATTTGAACACACTAAGTCTAAGAGGTCACAGCTGGGATTTGAACCCTGGCAGTTCTGGCCTGAGGTTCAATGCTCTTGACACTAGACTGGCTAAGCTTTATTAAGCACTTACTGTGTACCAGACACTGGGGACACAGCAATGAGGACAGTATAGGAGCTGGGGCAGAGGAGTAGTTTGGGAGCCTTTGGAGGAAGAGACATTGGGAGTTGAGCCAAAGGCTGAGGTCCTTGACTCCCTGTCCTGGCAGGTGCATCTCAGCCCCGCACTCCAGCAGCCCCCGCAGGCCGCGTGCGCTCGGAACTCAAGACCAAGCAGCAGATTCTGAAGCAGCGGCGCCAGGCCCAGAAGATGCGCTTCCTGCAGCGTGGGGGCCTCAAGCAGCTCTCTGCCCGCAACCGCCGCCGTGCCCGGGAGCTGCAGCAGGGTGCCTTCGGCCGGGGCGCCCACCTCAAGAAGGGCAAGATGAGGAAGAGGATGTAAGGACCAGGACTCAGTCCTGTGGCTGGCCCTAATGTGGACATCAACAAACGTTTCCCCATGCACCACCGCATGCCTGGCCCTGTGCCACTAGGAGAGCTGCCTACAGGAGCCATTATCCGTGAAGAAGAGCACAGCCACAGAAGGGCGGCAGCTGCCTCTGCCTAAGATGGAGACGTCTGAGTACCGAAGAGTGTGTAGGAGTTCGCCAGCGAGGCCAGGCAGGCCAGGACCTGAGTCAGCAACTCAGCTGCTGCTGCAACTGTGTGTTCTGGGTTCAGAGGTAATGAGTTCCTCAGGTCTAGGGATGGGTTTTTTAATAAACCTTTATTGAGCACCTCTGGTGGGCTAGGAGTGCAGAGTCTACTCGGGGAGTTGGAAGGGACAGACCTAGGTTCTAAAATCCCTGCTAACTGGTGGATGAGTTGAGAGCGTGTGAGCACACCCATCACGATCCCACCTGGGGTCTCCACTGAGCAGGAGAGGGAAGTGAAGCTCAGAGGACGAGTCAGTTGCCTGAGATGGGAATTGGCTCCCGTACCACCAGGACAGGCTTGCAGCTGTCAGTGAACTGCGGGAGGGCGATAGATGCAGGCCCGGGGTCAGAGGGCACAGCTGCTCCCCTCTGGCTGTGAAGAGGTTAACACAACACCTAGAGGTCAGAACCTGTCCTGCCCTCTGTGGCCTCTGTTCTGCACCAAGCCCTGTTGCTCCCATCCCCCACTTTGGGTTCTGAGAAGGTCAAGGGCAGCCTCCAGCAGCTGGATTCTCGGGATGGGCAGGTCACCCAGCACCCCTCCACAGTGGAGCCATGGTGAGCAGGTGCCCCAGATGCACGCAGATTTCTGCCTTGTAACCCTTTTGCTGGTCCTCTTTATTTTACTTTATTTACCATGCACTCATGTAGAATTTACCCTTTTCTAAGCACCTGACAAATATCAGCTTGCTTAATGTCCTCAACCACCCTGGGAGGGAGGGCCTGGTTTGACCTCACTTTTTAGGTAAGCAATTGCCCCACACATAGCCCCTCGTCTTCACTGCAGCCTGCCTTTATTGAGTGCTTGCTGTGTGCTCCTTGGCAATATGAGCAGGCACAGCCCTCCTGTCTTTCTGATGAAGAAACAAGTTCAGGGAGGGCACTCAGCCTGCACCCCACAGGGAATGTGGGATCTTCTCTCCAGGGGCCAGCTCCCTCGGGTCCCCTCCCACACTGCTCACCTGGGTCAGGGCTAGGAGGCAGAGGCCGCGGGCTTGGTCTGACGAAGACTGGCAAGTATGGCGGAGAGGTCTAGGATGAACAGTTTCACCTAAGAGGCCCCGACACAGCCAAGTCACATCCTGGCCCCTGAGTCACTGTCCAGCCCCCAACACCCAGGGATGCTGCAAAGCAGGAGTGGGGGCTGGAGAGCACATTAAAGGAACAGCAATGATAGTAGCTCACAGAGGCAACCACCAAGGTCCTAGACGGTTCTGGGTTTTAAAGGCCTCAGGCCAGGCCTCTAAATAGTCAGTTAACAGACACCTTCATATTTTCTAGCTGGCCATCCCTTGTGTTATCATTAAATTAGTATTTCATTTACATCAGTTAATTTTATTTTCTTCTAATTGGGTCAGTCATAATCATTGGCTGTGACCTACTCTCATCTTCATTTGTGGCCCTCTATTATTTTAATTAACTTGTTTATTGATATGAATTTAATGATCACCATGGATCCACTGCCAAGAACTAGAATTTGATGGTGAGCTTAGAACAATTGGTGGGCTCCCCTCGACATTTGTCATGTAAACAAACATCTGAAAAAGAAACTATCTCCACCAAAAAGTTATGCTTTGTCGTAAGTAGGGGGTAACTGGAAAAGAGGGTACTTTAAAATGTTTACGGAAAAATTGAGTTAAAAGACCGTAAGAATCCTCTCATGAACTTTTTGAAGACACCTCGTACAATGAAAATGAAGCTATGGTGCTGGCCAGTTAGCTCACCTGGGGGGGCGTGGTGCTGATAATACCACGGTCAAGGTTTTGGATCCCCACACCAGCCAGCCACCAAAAATAAATAAATATAAGAAAATGGGCCGGCCCGGTGGCGCACTGCTACAGTGCGCTGCTTGGGAGCGCGGCGGCGCTCCCACCGAGGGTTCGGATCCCACATACAGATCGGTCCCTGCTCACTGGCTGAGCGAGGTGCGGGCGCAACACCGAGGGTTGCTATTCCGTTGCCGGTCCTGGTCCGGTACGGGCGCGACACTGAGGGTTGCGATCCGTTGCCGGACACGAAAAAAGACAAAAAAAAAAAAAAGAAAAAGAAAATGAAGCTATTGTGCTGAATTCTGGCCAGCTGCTGATGTGCGCAGGACAGTGTGAGTCCCAGGCCTGGAGACCAGGAAGTGTTTTAGGAGGGGTTAAAGGCATACACACTATCTCCACCCAGCCTTTCTCCTGCATAGGATCAGAGGGTTGATTGAAATGCGACTGAGTTTTGCCTCTTTGCGTCAAGCCCGGGACTCTCCTAGAGTTGTCTTGTGTACCACAGGGTACCAGGGTCACACTGGGAGAAGAGTGGCATACCAAAGGCAGACCCCAAAACATGTAGCATAAAAAATAAAACGGGTGACCCAGTTCTTGACATTTGGTTGGAATCCTGGCCTTGGGCGCAGGGCAGGAGTGGGGATGGTAGGGTCAAGGAGGACTGCCTACCTTTATTTTCCCTCCCGGTCTCAAAGGTGTCATGCTTTGGGTACCCACTAGAAACAACAGAGGTGTCTGAAGTCTCAAACCCCCTCCATTTGTTGTAAACCTATGCTGTGTGTTCTACAACCTTGTAAACCTGAACAAAGAAAAACCAGGTGTACTTGGCCCACAGTGACATTGGGTGGCGCCATTGTGCAGAAAGAAAGATCACTGTACAACCCCCCCACCTTCACCCTCTTTAGGAAGGCTGAGGCCTGTCCTGCAGGGAGCGAGAAGTTCAGGGATTAATTAAAAGTGAGTCGACCTCCTAGTTTCTTATCAATGTTGCTACTGGTTTGTGCTGTTTGATCCTGGGAGAAAGGAGAGACTGTGGGCATAAACATATGGTGTCCATCAGTACACACCCTGGCCTTCCCGCACGAGAGAGCACTGAGACCCAGAAAGGGGTGCAGCTTTCTTCTGGACACAGTAGATCACGACAGAACCAACACAAACCGGGACTCCCAGGCAAGGGGGCCTGGTTGGCAATTGAGCCTATATCTGGGGCAAGGGCTCTGACCATAAAGGGCCGTGCTTAACCCAGAGAAGATGTCACTAATGGTGAGATTTCAGACACCTTATGTTTCCGAAAAGGGAGTGTTTGGGGGCTGGAGGTGACATAAAGAGGGGCCCTCACCTGTTCCAGCTGCCCCTCGGTGTCCTCGATGTCCACAGCCGGCGGCTGCCTCTGATGCTGGCACACTAACTGGAACAGGTTGAGTGCTGACATCCTAGTGCGTCCCAGGAGCAGCGTCTTCTCAGCTGCTGTGTTCTGGATCTGAATCCACCTGGATTCCTGGAGAATACCCGACCCCCTCCTGATTAAAGCAGGAACTGTGACTCGTGTCCATCTACGTCCACTAGTCAGGTGCACATAGGTGTTCTCAGGAAGGGGGATGCAGGAACCGCGTGTCAGATGACAGGACGGGCCCCTGTGCCCTAAAGTGATGTCCCATGCCTAAAGTGCGGCCACCCCTCTGGGTAAGCAGTGCGCCATCTGTTTCCACCAGCTCTGGCACTCCTCCCCGCCTGGAGATGGCAGGCAGGGGCTCGGACGCCCACCTCCCCCGGCAGGCCTTACCCACTGCAGCGTGCGCTCCCGTGCCGCCTCCAGGCGCTCCTGCAGCTGCGCCCGCCGCTGGCTCTGAGCGAGCAACTCGGTCTGCCAGGCGTCCCGCAGCCGCTGCAGCCGCGCCCGCGCCGCCTCTAGCTCGGCCAGCCGCTCTCGCTCCCTGAGCCTCAGCGCCGCCTGCGTGTCGGCCAGGCCGTCAAAGCGCGCCACCAGCTCGGGGACCTCCTGGAACTGGTGTGGGGCCCGAGAGAGGGACTCACATGGGAGTCCCCTGGCCTCCCCACCCCACCTGCCCCGCCGATGCTCCTAGTGCGCTTCCTCAGCCCAACTATGAAATTGGGGTATCACACAGCCCCCTATCCAAGAAGCGAGGACAGCAGGAGCCACAGGGTCTGGAACTCAAGCCCAATTTCCCACCCCTCACCACCTCCACTTTCAAGCATAGCTAAGTAAGCTTCAGTACCTGAGTATATTCATGTATTGATTCATTCAACTAGTAATATTTATTAAGCGTCTGGATTTAAGTGTCCCCCCCCACCCCCCACTTGCCTAATTGCGTGACCTCAAGTAAGAACTTTTTGAAGCCTCTCAGTTTCCCCATCTGTAGAATGGGTTTGGTTGGCAATAACAGGAGGATTCAAGAACAAAGTGTGCCCCTGACATCCAGTGAGCGCTCAGTAAGTGACGGTTGTCGGCATACGGTCCAGTAGTGCTCCCGTCCAAAGCCGTCCCTGATCACCGGGGCGCTGAGCCTCTAGTGTCCCGCCCGCAGCTCACCTGGGGCAGCTGCTCCAGCGCTTGTCCCAGCAGGCGCGCGCAGGGCTCCAGGCGCTCGGGCCGGCGCTGCAGCCGCGCGCGCTCCCGCCGCAGCTCCTCCAGCTGGGCCCGCAGCCGCAGCGCCTCCGCCTCCTGGCGGCCCGCCCGGAGCCGCTCCACCGCCGCCCTCTGCACCG